CTACGCAAGGAAATCGCAAGTATTACTGCCACATACAACACAGATTATGCACGAACAATTCCTCTTCGCCCAGCCATTCCCTTTCCACGACTGTACAGTACTCACTCAAGCTATCATACCAACCGGGATCCAAAATCAACTCAAAAACCACTCCGCACTGCGTTCCTCAATATAATATCATACCTCTCACAGTATCGCACAGCATCCCCCACCGCCCGTGCAAAACACCAATCCTCAATACCAACCCCGCCACACCCACACCCCCCAAGCAAAAAAAAAAAAGTTATGGGAGTTCAGCACCCGGGATTCTCACGTGGTCACCCACCGTAATACTAACCGGGCGATGCAACGCTTGTTTACCGCAGAGCGGACGGGATGCGAAACTTTCATTGCTCCATGGCCGAACACATTTTCACCTTTGGGAAAATTGACCTTATGGGAGGGGAAGCATGGTATATCACTCGGTAGGTAATTTCTGAGCGGGGGGGGGGGTAGGAGCTAGCCAACTATAGGAGATAAAGGCTTTATCACGCATGTTCCGATCCATTAACGGGGTGATGTGATAGCGAGCATGTCGTATTTTTTTTCGTGCCCGGCCGAAACAATATCTACCAAGCCTAACACGAGCCCCGAGGGGTGAGAAGGCTGGTGAGTTGATCGCACACAACTTCAGCCAACATCGCGTCCCAGAACTCCAAACCCGTGCCCCCCATTCGAACAAAGTCTTGGAAACCACCCAGCCGACTACAATATTCCTTCCCCCCTTCCCCCCTTCCCCTCCCACCCCCATGCACTAACAAGATCGGTAGCAGTAAAGACTAGTCCGAGCCCCGATTTCTGCTAGCTGAAAACTACAACTATCATACATTGACGCTTCAGGTCTGCCCTTGGCGGGTCGCGGGGGGGGGGGGGGTTGGAAAATATTGTGACGCCTTTAACGTCACGCTGGAGTTCTCATTTCCCCCACTTGTGAGCGGGTTGCGGTATCATACGCACCACTAGCAAGCCCACCCGAGACCTCAGTGCTGGCGGTTTCTCACTATAGTCTTTTCCTCAGCGCAGTGTTTTTGATGATTCAGGCGTTTTGCGTGTAAAACTTCAGTCACTGCTTGCGCTTCGTCCGCCCTTTCAGGGTTGCAGCGCTTTCGGCTGGAGGTGGGAAAGGATTCGTAATTTTAGGTTGCGAACATACTGCGGTGGCCTCATCAGATATCATATCCCAGACAGCGTCTAATTTTTTTCTTGAGGAGACTAGGTAAACAAGCAATCTATATCTACATGCAGATACTCTATTGGCTATCCCGATCAAAACAAAATCCATCCGGAAGGCTTTAGGCCAATTTAGGATGAAGATAAAAGCACAACGTTAAAATATTTCTCCGGGAAGTTATTCCCGTATGCTTGGCTTCTGTCCTAACTTCCTCTCCACCTAAACACGGTACACGGCGCCCGTGTCTGTCTGCGCAAACTCTCTATTGACAAAATGCGCGTTTACGGTCTGGGGAGACGCTACATTTTACGGGAATTTGCCGTTCCCCTGTGGCTTGACCAATCAGATTGGACACAGGATTGAGTTTCCACAACGCTTTTGCCCAGCTCAGTAGGGCAGTGCGAGAAACACGTGACCGCCAACTTGAACCATGCAGGAGTCGTAAGGATCCTTCTGAGCCGCGCTGATGTCAACCTCAACTCGCCAGATTGTGGTGACTTTACACCTCGAAACTCCTACAAAATTTAATGGTCATGAAGGAGCCGTAAGGACCTTACTAAGCTACGCCGATGTCAACCCCAACTTACCAGATCTGTATGACCGAACATCACTCTTCCAAGCCGCGCCGATGTCAACCCCAACCTAGCAGATCCGACTAGCAAAACACTTCTCTTCCAGGATTGTGCGAATGGCCATAAATGAGTGGTAAGGGCCCTACTAAGCCACACTTATGTCAACCCCAACTCAACCGATTAGTATTGCCAAACGCCACTCTTCCGAGCTTCTGCGGACCACCATGGAGTTGTGAAGGCTCTCTACTAAGCTATGCCGTTGTCAACTCCAGCTCAGTCAGTTGGAGCGGCCATACACCACTCGGTGCGGCAACCCGCACCAACCCCACGGTATAGTAAACCCGCCACCCGCCCAGCGGCAAATTCCCCAGCCAATCGACCATCTCCTTGTGCCTACCTCAGTCTCCCCTCCCCAGATTGCGCAATTGCCACCCTGACCCCCCTTCCGGCACTATCTTGAGCATTCTCCCACCTCTCCATTTCCATTATGCACAGCTCTGATTTGATACTCCCTTTCGGTGTTATTGTAGAGGTCTTATCCTCTTATTCCCTTTTCCCCTTTTCCCTCACCCGAAAGCAGTTCTTCAATATATACTCTAGGTATCCCTTAACGGAGTTTCTGGATGGGTTGTTTTTTTGGTCCTTTTCCAACCCTATACTTGGGCGCCCCAGACAGAGTTATTCGGCGTGTACGATGCTCTCCCCCAGGACCCCTTGGCAGGGGCAAGGGGGGGTTGATGTTTTTTTTTTTCTGAAGTGCTTAAAGTTGGCTGATAATAATGCCTTACGAACCGGAATAATAGAGAATCTCGCTAAGACGTTGGAGTTACCCCCGCTCCTGGTAAAGTCTGTTATAATATTGTTTTCCTTTTGTCTCAACTAAGGGCTGAAGGAGAATATTTTCGCTTTGCTTCTCCCCTTAACCCAAAGGAGGAAATTATGGACGTCTCAGCGTCATTCTCAATTATTCCAGTTCTTGAGGTAATGCATATATGCGATCGACAACCTTCTCGAAGGAGACATAATACACTATAATACAATACCATAAGGCAAAAGGGGATTTCACTCGTTTCCTTTTTCATATGCAGAGAAAGAGGGAGATACCAAGCACGCCCTGTGATGCTGCCTGCGAAACAATGCAGGTGACATAGGGAGGGGTTGGCAACGAACACGAGGGCTGAGAATAACATCCCGTCAAAACAATCCCGATTCAGCATACCATAGGACTACCCACTATCCCCCCATTATTCCCTGCCACCTCTAAAATGTTAGGTCCGTATATAAACAACCCGAGCGACGAAATGAGCTCAGTCCACCCCGCCCAGAATCCGACAGAGTAGGACCCAGGAAGTCCAGTATATCATTAAGGGAAAAGGAAAAACATCACTTCGTGTACGAGTACACCCTCAAACAGCTCCGTGACGCCAACACGTTAGTTTTCCTAGTGTGATAAGAGATCTTAATAGTCCGGAAATTACCAAAGGGGTTCATACGCCCTTCCCGACATGTCTCGGATATCTAGAGACCCGATTCATTTTCCTCAAGTTCACCAAGATCTTGATGGCCCTCTCGAATGAGAATTTGATATTCGATTGTGAACTCCCCTCTGCTTACCTCTTCTCCGTAACAGACTAGGGGGGGGGGTATGCACTTGTATAGATGATATCGCAAAATAACCAAGAGCATTTAAAGGAGGGAATGAACCCTTTTTCACCCCCCTCAAAAATCTTTCGCCACCCATTTTTCTTTCTTCGTATGATGCCGGGAAAGGCTTCGGCTCGCACACCCGTAGAGGATAGGAAACATAGCATTCATGCCCATGCTTGCCGAGATATTTGCTACAGAAGGGGTACCCACGTACAGAAACCTACGATCCACGGTCGGGAAAGGGTAATGACTGCGCAATGCAAGCACCAGTATTCATTCCTACTACATGCAACGCAGATTATACAAAAACAATCCCCCCCCCGTCCATTTATTCCCTCGTCACGATTACAGAGTACACACTCAAGCTTCCATGCCAACCAGGATCCCAAGTCAACTCAAAAGTCACTGCGCACTATCTTCCTCAATACGATATCATATCTTTCACAGTATCGCACGGCAGCCCCCCATTGAAAACTCCAATACTTAACACCAACCCCAGCCATACCACCTCCTGCCCAAAAAAATGAAGCCAGGGGAGTTCAGCACCCGGTATTCTCACGTGGTCACCCACCGTAATACTAACCGGGCGATGCAACGCTTGTTTACCGCAGAGCGGACGGGATGCGAAACTTTCATTGCTCTATGGCCGAACACGTTTTCATCTTTCGAAAAATTGACTGAATTGGGGAGGGGAAGCACAGTGTATCACTCGGTGGTGAATTACTGGACGGGGGACAGGAGCTAGCCAACGATGGGAACTACCGTAAAGGGGTATGTTGCCACATTGACAATTCACGCTTCGAAGGAAGAGAACTGACGATTCGCGTGCTGTATCTTCTTCCGTCCGACCGAAACAATATCCACACACCCTACCAATACCGACACCACAGCCCGAACTCCAAACCCATGCCCCCCACCCGAACAAACTCTCGGCATCCACCCCCCCTCCCATGATAATAATAATATTATTATTATGATGCAAAAGCCTCCCCATCCCCCATCCATGTCACCAATAGCAGCGAAGACTAGTCCGACCTCTGATACCCGTTACAAGCTGAAAGCCACAACTACATTGACGAGCTTGCGTAAACGGTCTGACAGAATATTCCGCATCGATATCAATATCACGGTCACAGATTTAGCCGAGCGCGAGACGGTGCGGTGATACGGTGATGCTTCCGGAATATATATCAGGACCACCACTCTAGTCCTTCCCCAACCCAAGGGAACGGGAGCGGTAGAGTGTTAGAGTTAATGTGAATGGATCCCGTTTGCCTGTGTGTTTGTTCGGATATAATCTGTATGAGCAGGGGAGAGAGTATTGGCATGTATCACCCTGTAGGCATGGGATAGGATCTAATATTATTAATTATTATGATTAATTTTTATTATGAGTACCGGGTTCATCTGGTGCACTCGCTCGAATCATGTGTTGTCACTCGTGAGAGAATAATTCTTTCTGTTGTGAGAAATGTTGGATAGAACGATGATATGAGATATGAAGAAGTGATCGATTGCTTGAGAAACTTGAATGCTTAACACTTTCAAAGGGAAGAGCTGAAGACCCTGACTATCTACTGTTTTAGAGCAAGACTGTTTTAGAGCAAGACAAATAGCTTGAGCGAACAATAATAATAATAGAGAAAAGCGGTGTGTGAGAAAGGCAAGGAGGTATCTTCAATAGTCCAGGAGGTCTAGATGTGCCAACAGGTTTAATGCAAGGAGAAAGTATCAGTAGTAGGAGTAACACTGCAGTAGTGCGAGAAGTATGTTTCAACACTTTCAAGTAGTCCCGAAGACTTCTGAGCTTGTTGAGGCCGGGTCGGCGTAACAAGGATAATAAATTTATTGAATGAACAAACAATGTCACAACAATCACCCTTTTTTTTCCCCTCTAATCAGAAAAAAAGAGGGGGGGAAGGGAACCCGATAGAGTGATACCAACATTCTCGACCCACCACCACACCCGACCAACCATCTAACTCAATTACACTTCTCGCCCAATTAATTGGGTACGACAACCAATCCTAAACCACACTCCCTACCGGCCTCCCCACCAATTCCACCAGCCCCTCCACCATACTCTCCCTGGCAGGAACACTAGCAACCTTCTCCCCAGCAAGATAGCCCAACCAAAGTGCTAACCCAACCCTGTAATCCCGAATATCCCCCAGCATCATGGTCCCGCTTCCCAGCTTCCCGTCCCCCCTCCCCTGCGGATCATACCAGCACGTCATCCTCCCCTCTCCATTCCTAACCAATAACAAAGTCTTCTTCTTCGGCACGCTTCCACGCCCGCCAAACAGCCGCTTGAACTCATCTAATGCAGCAGCCCACCCGGGATCCTCGTACACACCACCCTGCTTGGCCCGGGCGGTAATACTGCGGACCCACCCGTCGCGGAGGTGCGAGAAGTCAGTGTTTCGGGTAGGAACTATCCGCAAAGCGGTGGAGATGTGAGAATTTTTCAGGAGCGTGGTGAAGATTCGTTCGCTGTGTTCTGGCGAGAGGAGGAGCGCGCGGAGAGAGTCTCTTTCGGAGGCGATAGTGCTAGTGGCCCCGCTAGGGGCAGCATATTGGAGGAGGTATGTTGATAGGGCAGGTAGGTCTGACGTCAACACGTACAACCCCACCACGTACACTTGAATCCCCAAAAAACTGACCGTGCGAATACCCAGTCCTACCAGTGTGTACTCTTTATCCTCGATCTCCAAATGCTTAGGAAAGTCCGGCACACTGGTGGTTCCGGAGGGGACTAGTTCTACCCCTGCACGCTTCTCCTCGTCCGTTGTCAGTATCACCGGGGCGCCGGGTTGTATAGGGGGGTGAGGGAGGGAGTCTAGCGACTGTTGGGGGGATTGTTTTGCTAGGACGTAGAGCGCTATCATTGATGTCACTGCACCAATGGTAAGGATTGTTTGGCGGTGCTTGGTGGCATGGAGTTCCTCGCGGCTGGGGGATGGGGGCCTGTGGAAGGGGGGTGGACGGCGCGGTGTGGGCTGCGGGAGGGTTAGTGCACGGGTTTGGCGGAGGGTAGCCTGGACCGGCCGGCAGAGACGGCGGGGGAGAAGGCGGGCTGCAAACATTGCCGGCAGAGGTATGTGGGTGGGTGAATGAATGTGGTTCTGGCCCAGTCAAGACGCAAGAAAGGCGGGATGAGGTGGGACGTGAAAAACATCGTGGGGCCTTGGCGTACATCATACGATTGAGCCTCACACATAGCCAACTGGGTATGATACTCGGGCACTCAAGCCGGTAACACCCGTGTCGGCAAAGTTCTTGGAACACTTGATGTATCACAAAGTCTTGGCAGTCTTCCACCGGAGAATTGCAGAAGCTATTTACTAGGGGAAAATGTGAATATCCTCCACGGAACCCGACATTACCAGATTAAAAAAGATTTCCCGAAAAAGAGTCGTCCCTGCCTTTCTATCTAGGGTCGGGGTTGGCGTGGTACTTGAGGTGTTACGAGAACACTGCGAATGCGAGTGCACGGTGGGACGAGTACAGCACAGTGCGGGTGCGATGTCGCAGACTATCATAGCCTACTCGCACATGATACGAATATCTAGATCACTGAATTCTCTCTTGTTTGCCATGCCTATTAACTGTACTGTTATATAATTAATACATTCCCACCTCTCTGATCAATTGAGAAATTTACACCTGTGCCCCCCATTCCCTCTATTGATACCGGTATCGTCCAACAAAAGGTGAAAGCAATAGCAAAGAAAGGAAAAAAGAGAAAAGTATCAGCCAGAAAACAAAGCAAGCCCTAGTAAAGTAAAACTATGAAGGTAAAAGTGTAAGAATGAAAAACGGCATGCCGATTCCGGAACCTTGTGGCAAAACTGCCCACCCGTCGCAGTGACTCCACTGGCGCGTTCTATGCCGACTTCAGTAGCGCATCCAAACTATCAAATGTTCCCTGAATCTGCCGAACAACCTCCTTGCGCCTAGCCCTGACCTCCGGCTCGCCGCTCTCCACAGAATCTAACTTCAGAAGCTCACCCATCATAGTCTCTGTTAACCTCCTATGTGTTTCCTCTCTCTTATCCACATCTGCCGGGGGGCTTTGGAGGAAATTGTTTACCAACGGATGAATGTCTGCGACAATCCCCTCCCAGACCGCTTCGATTTGTTGGAACGGCGTCAGAGGGAGTCTCTTGACCTCTGGCTGGGGAGACGGAGTTGGTGAGGGCGGGAGAGGTGACGCAGGGCGTGTCTTCTTCTTGCTCCTCTTCTTTTTGCTCTTGGAAGGAGGAGCACCATCAACGGAGTCCACGGCAACCGCCGGCTCACTACCGGCAGGGGGAGCCGATGTAGCTTTCGATGCAACACAGAGAATCCTAGCAGCATGTCCGATTCCGAGAGATATCAAGGGAGCCGCATCATCCCTGAGAACTTTTCCTCCACAAGAAAGACTCACCCTGTCGGGCTCCACGCCAGTAAGTCTCACACATTGATCGCGAACCGCTCCAGTAGTAACGATCCCCGAAGTAATGGTACCGACAGGGTAAGAGACCATGTACTCCTTCATCCCATGCTTGATCATAACGTAGTCATCGCTCCTATCAGGATCTGGATTTTCATTACCGGATATCAGGGGGCCCTTGTGAACCTCACGGTCTGTGACGAGGTAGGCCTCCTCGGGAGGACCCTGCGGGCGGCCGAAAAAGCGACGCATGAATATGATGGTAGAGAAAAGGCCGAGCGAGACTAACAAGCGTGGTAGGATATCGGGTAAGGATCTGGGCGTGGAATGAGGAGAGAGTGAGAGCTGAAGTTCGGTGAATAGTCTGTCCAGGTTGCCAAAATAGGGAGAAAGCCGGTCTAGATAAGGATTTAGAAAATCCGCGTAGGGTACTGAGGGCGCCAGCTTGACTAATATGCGGGGACGAATTGTTGGACAAAAAATAATAGGCTGAGCTCCGAATGTGATCTCTGTGTGGCCAGGTATGTAGGCAGCGTCACGGGAAACGTTTGATGCGGTGTACTGCGCGAGAGGGCCGATGTGTGGGGATGATGATCGATGAAGTCAGAGCCAGAGCCTTGTGTGGTTTTCGAGAGAGAAAAGAAGCCTTGTTTCGATCCTGACGAAATCGGGAATTGATGTGTGTGTGGGGTGGAGAAGGGTGAAAAGGAGAGAATGTGAGCCGGTGGAATAGGGTAGAAGGGAGTTGCGGACAAGGCGTGTCTACAACTTGCCTCTCCTATTTGCTTCTCTCCCAAAAAATTAAATTAAGTCAAACCACCGGCCAGGTGGTTATGCCCTAACCCACAAACACTCCAGAACAATCCTCCTCCCTCTGCTCGAGTATGATACGTACAATATCATACTGGTGCAGGAAATTCAGATGGGAGGAGGAAGGCGAGCCGGAAAAAAAATATGTGGTGTTTATTAAAGAGCCTCCTGTTTTGTTTTAATTCACTCTTCTTCCTATTGATTCGATCTTCAGTCATCACCGGTAAATTTATGGCTGTCGCATCTCCCTAGAAAACGAAACATAGTGGCAAATTAAAGGTGACATATCCGTAGTTTGGTGTTTTCAATATAATCCCAATCCTCCGTCAAGTCAACAACCTCTTTACCCGATTCTTCAGTGTTGCGGGAACGAAAACAATAATATTATACTCTCCGACTAGTACCCATAAAGCCCTTATTAGACTTACCGGTATAATACTGGATTACTGGTTCTTCGCGCGAGCACCCACTGATCCTACCGGACCGGTACTCTTATGATAGTGCAGGTATTTATCACAGGGTTGCCCACTGCAAGTACAAGTACTAGTACAAGTATTATGTGACAATGAGATAAGGAAAAAAATTCACCCGATGAACCCAACACAAACCTGGACAAGTAGCTTATTGCCGTTTACAGTAAAACTTCCGATATAGTGGGTCAAATTCGCTTAACCGGTATCCTAGTGTACGGTCCGCGTGTAAATTCAAACTCGAGTAAATTGCGGGCCCGCCGAGTGAATGAGAGTGAACAAGATTCGGGATAGTAGACGGGATACGGTGGGTAGGCATCGACTCCTTCACCACTCCTCCTCCTTTCCCAGGACACGATCACGAGGTGCTCCGGTACCGGTATTCCCTGCTCATCCCATCAAAACCTCGAGGAATCACGACAGCTCCAGAATCCGTCATGAGGCTGACGCCGTTGAACTGAAACCAAACGTTGACGGTTATCCTGCTTACAGTACGGTACTCGTACACCCTACCGTACCGGTACCCTACTCCTTTTGGCGGGCATCATCTCGAAATATTGAATGGAATCCCTGGATTTCGCCCCCATTTTATTCAAACTTTCCTAATCAGTGCGAGAGTTTGTGCACGGATGTTCGTGTTTTCCCTTGAATTAAGTAAGCAGGATCCCTGACAGCAGTCAAGGTATTGGCTGAATACCGGTAGCTTCAGATGGTCACACAAGGGGACAGCATCGATTGGTGAAATTTGGGACCAACAGAGCCGACTCAGCGGAATACCGGTGCGGCAGTCAAAGACACTCGAACAAGCCAGGATGTGGTAGCCACGGCCCCATCCACCAGCAAGAGAGCTTCACTCCTTTCTTGGCTGTCGCTGCAGCTGAACCCTTTCCTCCAATCCGTTCCTCCGGCCTCTTCGCATCGTTGCCCCAAACCTGCAATTCGCCCACAGAGATCACTGGGTTGAACTATCATTTCGGCGTCTAGTGTGAATCCTACGTCCTGATCTCTTTTCTCGATTTGACTATCCGCACTAGAGGGTGTGGCCAGAGAGCGAGGAGAGGGTGATAAGTGAGGGAGGGGAAGGAAGAGAAAAAAAGGAAAGAAAGAAAAGGGAAAAGAACGAGCGATAGAGAAAGCGCGTTCGAAGACTGTGGAGAACCCGCATCTTGCTACTGCATCTGCCTCTTCTCATCCTATTGTCGCTGCTGGTTCGCCTCTTCCCTCCCCTAAACGAACAACATCCTCACCCTAGGGATCCTCCCTGAAGAGGGAAAAAAAGCCCCCCCCACTTGACTCGACTAGAGCTAGGGACCGACTGGCTGTTGTCACTATCACCTATTCACCTAATTGGAATCTGTTTCGTCGCCTCTCGTTTGAATTCTCTTCACTCGTTCACTCCATTTTCTTGGTCTTTTTTTCTTTCTTTTCTTCTCCCTTTTTTTTTCACTTCAACTCACGCCCCGCACCCTTGACTCCGCATCACCCACCATAGATTTTGTGTGGTCGCCGGTGTTTCCACTTCTCTTTTCTCTCGTATAATCCCTTCAAAGGTGTTGCACCGACCACCCGTTGAGATCCCGCTACGCCCACCGTTCCACTCGACAGCTTCATCCGGGGCTATCCAATTCTCATCCTTCCGCCTCCTCTCCGCGTCCGCCTCTCCCTCTTTTCTTTCCTTTCCTTTTATTTACTTTTTTCCCTTTTTTTTTTTGTTGCACTTCCTTTCGTTTGTTCCACCAGTTCTTCTATCTAGTGTTCTAGCCGATGATATAGTCAGCAGAAATCGGTCCTTCCAGCCTCCCCCCACGCCGTCCCGTCACCTCCCTTCTATTTTCTCCGCGAACCCTTTTTGAAATTCAGCAGCAATATGGCGGCGGTATCTACTGCCGCCCTTACACCGCCTTCCTCATCTCATGGCAGGTCAACTGGGGGAGACTGGAACTTCAGTGTTCCCATAGACGGGGTAAGAGAACAAAAGAAAGGGCTGCTGCACCTGCGTGTCGACGCGTCGCTCAATCCATGTCTGACGCTGAGCCTCGACTAACTTTCTTATTCATAGACCGATACTCCAGATCCTACTCTACGGGAACATCATCCAAACACTTCAATGCTTCATCGTAGCGCTGCGGAAGGTCGGACATCGAAAGAGCTTCATCACGTGCAACATACCAAGAATGTCGCACCGATGGCAACAATTACACCAACCACCCCAAATGTGTACAGCCCTCAGCAAGAATACCAGTACTCCCTAGGAGATGAAAACTACCACGCCCACAGCGCAGTTCGGACTTCCGACCGTAATAGATCGGCGTCTCCGGAATATCTAGCTGCACCTCGGGCCCCGATGCTACAACGTCAGGACTCCACTGTTTCCTCAAACCATGACGGTGATTCGGTTTTCGATTTGTACGGAGGGAGACTCTCAACTGTCAGTGGTATGAGTGCTGGTTCATATGGACGGAGTAGCTCCGGGGAAGGACACCCTAGCTTTGTGAACGGCAACGGCGACCCTGCGGTGGACGAGGTGGAAGCAGATTCTTCTAACTGGATTCACAGCGATAAACTTGCCGAAATAGAAGCTGTTGGTTCAGGAAGTGGGATCAAAGCTAAGGGCAAGGATGAGGCGGACACTTCAAGGTGGATAGATAGGGACAAATTGGCCAAGATTGAGGACCAGGAACTCCAACAGGCGGGTATCCGCTCAAGGGCATCAAGTAATGGGACATATATGAGGGAAGAGGATGAATCATTCAGAGATGGAAAGAAGCAGCGAGTCGTTTCTCCGTCATCCATGGAAGATCGGTCGGAACAACTATACGATCCTGAGGGATTTAGCTTCGATTTTAGAACACCAGAGGAGCAGGCTGCAGACAACACCCCGATCCAAGCAATGCCTTCTCGCCAGTTTCGTAGGCATCCTTCTTATTCCCGGATACCGGTCCCGAAATCTTCACCTTGTCCCATACCCCAAGGCTACATAGAACGTAGCACTCCTCTCTTGCGGAACTCGCTCACGCCCAATAGATCCGAGGATGACAGAGCTAGCCTTTCAAGTACTTACCGTCGTGCTCGCAAGCGTTCCCATTCCGCTGGTTCGGCATTTCTCCTCGACGACCATGACCCAGCAACCCCAACACCGGGCCCCTTGTCTAATCCGAAGAACCCTAACCGATCACCCATGTCTCCTGGAAATCGGAGAACCTCTCGAACTCCTTCCCAGCTCCGGAAGGACCGGTCCCGTTCTAACCCTCAGCTTCACAATCGCCCGGGTACGTCTACATCACACGCAACACACGCAGGCGGCGCCGGATCACAAGCCTCAGGGGGCAAGCATCACCCCGAGGGCCCACCTCCCTGGTCTCTCCAAAGTTATAAGCCGGATCCAAGTTTGCCGCCGGATCAGCAGATTATACCCACTGTCGCCAAGCGTATGCAGCAGGAACAGTGGGAGAGAGACGGCGCATATGCCAGTGTTTATGACCGCGAGCTCAGACCTCTTAAGGTTCCCTCAGATCCAAATCTCGATAAGGAGAAGGGGAAGACAGGAGAAACGGATGAACCTGAGTGGCCATTAAAGAGCCCGGCCCTTCAACCCAAGCTGCCAGTGGGGAAGCCAAAGTCAGATGCTGGGTACAGGACAGTGCCTACGGTGAGTGCAAATTTGTTATTCTACTTTTTGCTTTTGATGCTGGTTTGGGGGGTATTAGAAGGGAAGGTTATTCTCTAGGTTGTTTTTAGATTCTCTCGGGAGAAACACCAATACAATTTCACATTAATAGCACCTTTTGGGGATGTAACGTTTGGAGCACTTTGGATTTGTCTTCGAAGCTAACCTGGTGGCTACCCGCAGGTCAACGGAGCATCGGGGTCAAACACGGTACCCAAAATCCAACAGATGCAACTGCAGCCGAACGACGTGGAGGGTGGCAGGGACAAGAAAAAGAAGAAAAGCTTGTGCTGTTGCGTCATATGCTAAATTTCTTCTCACAGACCTTTTTCCTTTTCCCTAGCTGTGGATCTTTGATACAAGAAAATCGACTCAAGAAACGACTCTTCGTTGTTTTCTCTCTCCTTGCCTCTTTGCCCTATCCTCTTCGTTTCTCCGTCATATCAAGAGCCATCCATTACTGGAACGATCGAATTCAGAGCTTGTGAAATTTTCATAAAAGGCTTTTTCTTTTTTTTTTCCTAGCGGTTTTTTATAATGTCATTGGGGCTTTTCTCTCTCTCGCTTTTCTTACTTTTCACAACTTAACGGGTGTATTGATGTTTTCGTTAGCTGGTTGCTGGAGCAAAGTTCGTTTTCAACCTTTTTATATATATATATCCTCAGTTCCCTATCGCTCTCCATATCAACTTATACCTCATTTGCTTTCTCCCACAAGAAAATCGGCGTGTGGGGTGGTAGGTAGGTGGTTTGGATGTTTTTTCATTTTGCGATTCCCAGAAGTTAGTTTTGCATTATATACCCCATCTACTTCATTGTACCTCTTTTCCTCCAAACTGCTCTACTGTTCCCCCCCCCCCCATCCATCTGTCCGCCCGGCCAAGCAATCAACCCTTTCCTTTCGTTTTCGTTTATTTATTTATTTTTTTCACTGTGTTTATCAAGGCTTTGCAGAGTGATTTGGAGGGCTGTTTGGCGGATCGCAATCTTTTTCTTTTGTGCGTATTGATTAGGAAGGCGGGGGTTGTAATATAGTTTTTGGGAAAGGAGGGGGGTTGACAAATCCGTTGATTGATTGATTGGGCCGGTTGGAGGAGGGTGTGCATTGGTGGTGGTGGTGGCTGATAGTGATGTCGGCGGTGGGCAAATTAGTGAAGTGGCGCTGTCTTTTTTTTTTTTTACCACAAATGGAAGATAGTTTGTCACAGATTTTTACGAGTGATTTGTTGTGATACTGGCGGGGTGGATGTGGTTGGCTGAGGGTAAGCCAAAGCACCGTATTCTATATACATACGGTATAGTAGAAAAGTTGGCGGAGCGGGTCAGGTTCTAACGATACGGTGATTCGAATTGTCGGGATTGGGTCAAGACAGGTATCATACTAGTGCTACCGAGTACCATAATAGTACTATTATGCTCGATAGATAGACTATGCGTGATGATAGTGATGATGATAACGATAGCGATGATGTTAGTAAATATGTGGTAGTGCATCGGATCATACTTGAATGATATAATAATGTCACAGTTTACCTTTTTACCACCATCACCACCATGTAAGTAGCCAACAGAACAAGAGAAGAAGAAAAAAGAAAAAAAGACGGCTTTTCTACCACCTCATCGCTATTGTGCTCAAACCCACAGAGACGTTCGGGAAATGATAAAGGAAGGGAAAAAACAAAAATAATAAAGAAATTCCCCAAGCAACGAAGCCAATCAACTAAGTAGAATAATGTACAGTAGAGTAGAGTAGACGGACGAATAGAAAAAACGAGTAACAACCCCCAATTACAGACTCAAGCCGGTAATGCCTCCGTCGAACTCTCACTCGGCAGCTACCAAAAATCAGCTCAGAGCCCACGCGGAAAAAAAAGAAGAAAGAAAGAAGAGCAAGACTCACCCCAGGATTCTGCGGCCTACTCCCCCCAGCTGTAACCCTATTCAACCCGATGCCGACCCCCTCGATAACCGCCAACAAGCACGCGCACCCAATAGCGCTATTCCTAGCTGCCTTGACGCCGCCGCGAACCGCGAGTGCCCCGCCGGTGAAGAATCCGGCGATGATGGCGTTGTAGGGGTCCTCCTTCTGCCGTACGCCCTTGACGGCGCAATCGAAAGAGGAGAACAGGCCGCCCCAGACGCCAAAGTTGCCGCCGAGGACGGGCGCGCGCGCTTTTATCGACGTGAGCGCCCCAATCGAGCGCTCACCGCTGGGCGAGTTCTTGAAGCCTTTCACGCCGTGCCAGATTGCGCCGCCGACGGCCTGGTTGATCGGTTAACTGTTAGTGTATGCATGTATGTAGGAATGCTTGGGAGGGAGGGAGAAGTGGGGGGGGGGAAGTACACCCATGGCAAAGGCGCCGCCAAAGTCGCTGAGAACTACCCACGGGCAGGGGTCCCGGGAGTGGTCTACTAAGTTGGATTGTCGCATTTTTTGGGTTTTGGGTTTTTATTGTTGGAGAAGGAAGGAAGGAAGGAAGGAGGGGTAAAGGGAAAATGAAAAAAGGGAAAAAAAGGATCGCTTGCGGGGGGCTCTTGTGTTGGTCTTGTTTATCTCAGGTATGGTTGTTGGGATGGGAAGGGGTGAAGTGAAGGAGTGAAAGTGAAGTCAAGTTTAAAGTTGTGATGAGGACGGAAAGGTTTTTTTTTTTTTTTTTTTTTTGCTCGGTGCCGGTCTGTACTTTACAGTACTTGCACCGTAGTGGGGGGGGGGAAATTGATAAGTCTTGGCAACACCTTATCGTCACGTGATTGATAAATCTCCAGCGATGTCGAGAGGTGAGGTTATGAGAAGCGAGTGCGGTTCTCACAGGCAATGAATGGGTGGTGTAGCGATTGCGTGTGTTGGTGTAGACTAGCGCTCGTATGATATTGGCCTAAGTCTGGGACATGCACCCGATCTTGGTGAGTAACATACAAGTATTACAAGTATATATGATACTCGAGTGTTTTAACACCGTGGTTGCTTCTTGCACATTCACACTTCGCTATTCACGAACCAACCCTCTGGTATTCCAGCCCCCCGGCTTCCACACAAACGGTTCCCGCCACGACACGCGGAATTTCTCCTAAAGCCTCATCATCGGACCACGGATCCTGAACTTTTGGCGTTTGTTGGGGCGAGGCGCGACTGTGTCATGCGGAATGTGAGCGGGGAGGAAGGGGACCAAATGTTTGACTGTGGACACGACCAGTATCCCTTCAAAGTGCCCTACTACCAGCCCTTCGAAACGCTTTCACTGACCCTTTCGTTCTCATCATTCAGTCAAACAAATTGTGATGGTCAAGTTTACAGTGTCCCAGTAGGCGTATCGGAAAACAGCTACTACCTAAAGAGCCCTTGCTGCTCTCTTGATATTAATGGGCACCGTCCCCGAGGTGCGAGGAGTGGTGTAGGAGCTTTACGAACACGGCTTTACAATTCACCTCCCTAATTCAGTGCCACATCCAAGAAATCTACAAAAATGGAGTAACCTTTTATATTACCTCTCTTTGTCGTGATCCATCGCATCAAATAAAATCTCCATCCTCTCCCTCATCTAAGACATCCCATCATATCTCACCATTCTCCAACTGTCGCCCGCTTTGATAGACCCATACACAACACCCCCCCCACCGTTGTCTTCCCCCATGTCCTTCATTGTGAGGAAACGCTGTTTCCTGCGTTCCCAAGAGAAACCCAGTGTCCGTAGCGGTCTGGGGCTGCCAACTAGACTGGGCTGGATGGCCGACCTTTAGCAGTCCGCCTGGTCCTGCGGCTTTTGAGGATGGCAGATTTTAGCAAGGAGCACGGGCCCGACAAAGTGAGGCACCCTTTTACAGTCCGAGAAGCAAGACTACGGGTGATAGTAGCAGACCGCAAAATTTCTCCCAAGCACTGTAGGGACCTGTGGGGATCCGAAGCTGGGGGATCTGCGGAGTACTGCGGGGGATCTATAAATTTCGTGAATCGGAAGCAAGGAAATAGAGAATCCATAACAGATATGGTACCACCATGCTGCCAGTTTCGGAATCTAACCCAATACATCTCCTTTCCTCTGCGCAAACGTAGATCTCGTCCACCCTGCCGTCGGAAACAAGGCAGTGTAATCGGGGGTGCATCACGAAAATCACAGGGTTGTTGACGTTTGCTTCCTTGAAGTCGTGATCCGCATCACTAGGGGGCATCTCTCAATTTCGAGCTGTCCCGCTAAGCTATTTACCGTAAACCTTCTCCTTGACCTGCGAGATGCCTTCATTCCTTCAGCAACGCACTTACCTTCCAATACTACTCCTATGTTACCGTAATCCAAGGTCGCTTATTAAGCAGGCGATAGCTGCCAGGAAGAATACCGCTAAGATATTACCAGGCGTTAATTCGGCCATTTCCATGCAAAACTTAAAATCAACCTGGCTCCTGCTCAAGTCAATATTTTCAAAATCCCTCCTGTTAAAGCTCTAGGGGGTGGCGAATTGAGCATACCGGCATTTTGCAGAAGATTCAAATGTGGGGGTTGTGGTTGTTCGGAAAAAGTTGTTGGGTTTACGTCGGTCCGGGCATGTTCGGATGTTGATTTGTAGTTGACCTGAACCATCCCCTACCGGTAGTTAGTCCTCCAACCTTCAAAAATTAGGCTCATAAGAGTATATACGGTAGCTTTGGTCACTCAGTGGTGTTTTTGGCTAATGGCCCTGAGGAGTTAATCGATCTTTCCTCAAGTGGCGGCACTATCGCCCTACCGGTATTCAACTCAAGCCTTGAATTGTCTTACATTACTCAGAGATTGAAGTAAAATCGAGCAAAACAGGCACAGGAACAAAGAATCTCGGGAACCGTGAAAACCTCATACCATGGAAAAAAAAGAAAGAAAAAAAAGGGCAGCGGAGAAAGTTAAAAATCTCGGAGTAGTCGCATCTCGACCATTGTGGAAAGCCAGCAGTTACAGTACTGCTACAGTATCATTAATAGACTTTTTCAAAAGTTCCAAATCCCTAATAACCCAATTTCCCCCCCCTTCAAACTTTGGAGACTCGGATATCCAAAGCAAAAAAAGAATCACCAGTTCCATGTTACGCCTGCCTGCCCGGCTGGTCTGGGTTCTTGGGGATTCTAATTTGCCCATCTTTTCTACAAAACTCAGTACTGTACTGTACCGGTACTCGTACAGTACTTGAATGCAACGACAGGGTTTCTTGGAGGATTCGATTTTTAGACTACTTCCATCTCCGAGTACGGTACTGTACAGTACTCGTACAAATTTATGTGGTCCTCTGTCCTACGAGATGTTGTAGGGGGGCGTGGTTAAGCGAGCGTTGTATGTGCAACACATCCTGAGCAGTTGAAGGTTGTGTAAAGGTTACGGATTTAGTCAGGAGTGGGTTGGGTTGGCTTGTATCATATTGATGATGTCTCCCACAAGGGGGATTATCGTCCGCATTCTTAGATTTTGAGGGAGAGAGCTTTACCTAAAAGCAGCAAAGCTTTCATCCCGCTGCCAGTTACCCGTAATGTATTGGCCAGGATTTCAGTCTTTTCACCCACTACCTAGATGCTACAATATAAGCTTCTGGTGAGGCTACTAGGACTACAAACCATACACTCTCTTCGTTTGCCCACCGTGCATCACAGTGGTAGTATCATAAGGGGATCAGGGGATGAGCGGATCCCTTCGTTTGTCGCTGGAGGCCGATTTCAAGCCAACCAACCCCAGCGGGTATCATATTATTCCCGGCTTTCTTACGGTCCTCGTCAAATTCTGCCGAGGACTTTTTTGTTTGTTTTGTTTTCGTCTGTCATGTTTGGTGGGGTTTTTGGGATTGTGGGAAGGAGAGGAAGAGAAAGCACCCGGTGCGGGGAGGATACTGTAGCGATAGTGGTGGATGAGGATGAGGGTGGAGAAGATGGGGTAAAAATATAGAATAAGAATTGGTATTTCTCGAGAGATACGGTACAGTAGTCACTTTGGCACGGTGTTTGAGTGAGTAGGGACGAGCGGTTCTACTGTGCGATACTGATTCCTGCCAAGTTACGGGAGCATTTCGGGCAATTGTGCACCCACAGTAACTCAGGGAGATACGAGATCGTGGGATATCAAAATTACCATCCGCCATAGGATAAGAGTATTCGCTACCACCGCCATATAAATCTACCTGACAGAGTGTCTATTTACCTTACTCCCGCTAATTTCCTCTACGGCACCCCCTCTCCCGGTGACGCCCTTCCCCGCTATAGAAGCCAAGCTCATTGGCCGTGCTGCCGACGGCCCTGCGGCATCCTCGGTAGCCGTGGTAGGCATCTTCTCTGAGATCCTCCCAAGTCCCAACACACTCCAGTATGTGTGCTCTCTCTTCTCCTTCGCCTCCTTCCCGAGCCCACCATCATCCCTTTCAAGATCAGTCTCGTAAACCACACGCACCGACACAGGAACCTGAACGAGCCTGTCATCTTCGGTGGCAAGCTCATTCCCGTCCTCGTCCAGTTCCCCCGGGAGTGGGAGTAGCGGTGGCACGATTTCTATAACTACGGTCGTCCAGTTCCTGCCCAGATCCCAGACGGTGCCGATCAACATTCCAGTTTTCCGCCCCTTCTTGATGGCGGTAGTTGGCGGGTTTGCGGTTGTCTGTAAGGCCTCGTCCCAGACGTCGGTGTTTGCGCCTACTTCGAAAGTCGGGCAGAGGATTGTTACGGTTGAGGGGTAGCTCCCTGGCGTTTTGGCCGGTGTGGCGAGGGTGACGTTTATGGGGTCGAATAAGGGGTTTGTGATTGTTAATAGGAATTGATGGGTTGAGAGGGGTGTGAGCGCAGCATAGTTGAACGCTGTTGGGTCTAAGCGGGAGATGGAGAGTGCTGGTATGTAATTCCTGTTGTAATCAGTATCTGATTTGAAGTGAGGAAGAGCTGGGGAACGAACATCGCCACAAGCTTTATTCTAAACCTAATCGTAGTAGGTTTCGACTCGGGCTTGACAAGGATATGCCGACAAGCTCTACATCTTTTGGACCTTTTCGTCCTCAGTAATGCTGCGAGAGGTTTAAGATCTTGGATGAATCTCGGTTGATGGTTCTGCGCAATCCTCTGCTCCTTGCTCGTCGTTCTAGAAAACCCAGCTTCTCTAATCTTCTCAACGAGCTCTTCCCCATCGTCCCCAATTTCCTTGACCGCATCCCACTCAGCCCATTCAAGTTTCCCTTTCCCGCCCATATTACTAAACCCCCCAATTCCCCGGCCGAAACTCCTACTCCGACTACCAGACCCAAGCCCAGAATACAGTCCCATAAGTCGTGACAACGCCCCGGGCGAACCACCGTACTCATCTGCCCCCGCCCCAGTCTTTTGTTGTGCGTAATGAGCTTTAAGCTTGATAAACCGCTCCTCGGGGCTCAATTCCCTCTTATCCTCCTCATCGTCCGGAGTAATAATAGTCGGAGCGCCCATGGAAGGGAAATAACCTTCGGAAGAGGCTGACAATGGGGAAAGTGGGGAGGTGAAAGACCCCGACGTGACTTTAGCAAGAGCAGGAGGCTTCAGCTTCTCGGCCAATTGCGCAGCGATAGACGTCGGTTTCTCAAACTCGATCCCCATCTCTGCTGATGACCAGAGGCAGTGGTTGCACAGGAGTATATACGGACCCGCCTGCCCCCCACCTGTGGGCGCCACGACCAGGGAGGCGAAACATATTGGACACGAGAAGCAATTCCGCGTACACCTATCACCATAAAAACCCCAATCAGCTCACCCCATCTCAAACCGTCCGCCCAGGGGGGGGTACCGGTTTCCGTCCGTCTTAACGGTAGAAGATGGTACCTCGAACAAGCAATTCGGACAAAAGAAGCAAACGATCTCGTCGTGCACGCAACGAGGGCATCGAATCTGCTTGCAATCCTCGCAGTATAGTAAATTCTCCAAGGGGAAGAGGGAGAAATTAGAACGGGGTGCTCGGGGGTCAAAGGTCTCCTCCTCCTCAGACTCGTCCGGATCTTCCTCTGGCGCTGCTGGGGCGCCGGGCTTGGTAGGGGACATGGGGGTTATGGCTATAGACTCGTCGCACGGACACGAGATGTGCACTGTGGGGAAACTGTATGTGGTGGAGCGCGGGGCCATGGTGGTGGTATCTGTACTGTCTGGTCTGTGCGGCCGTACCTGGAGCTCGTGAAGAGTTTAGTGTGGATTGGATTTGAATGTTATCAAAGCTTTGTATGATGGCAATGATACCAAGAAGCTCGCTTGAGGGTCTACACGCCAAGACAGTCCTATATGCTCAGTCAGATATCCCGTGATCACATGTACCACTGTAGCATGTTCCATCACAACAGGATTTTGCTTCTTCAACCAGGTATCTGAGAAGCACATCACCGAGCCGACAGCACGCAGGACAAATATTGCACAACAACAACAACAACAAGGTGAGTTTGTTTAATGTCACCTTATCTCTCTCACTGCCTAGGGCAGTGTAACGATCCCTTCTCAGATAGTTAGTGCTTTGCGACGGGGAACGATACTTCTCTTCCTGTCCTCTTCTCTCTTTGTCTTACGATAGCTTTAGGCCTCTGCCTACGTTACTGATAGTACAAGACCCTTGTCTTCTATCGGGAACGCCTATCGTAAGCTTTCTCTAACTCTTCTCCGTAAGGTGCCTTCCTTGGTGTAACGATAATGTGGCAATAAAGATAACGATCGTAAAGGTGTTTTATATTCGTTAAAGTAATAAGTAGGAAAAGTACTTAGAACAAAGAGTGAAGAACCTATCTTCCTCGGCCGCTTCGGCCTCCTTATATAGTGTTCTTCCCTCTTTTAATCATGTGACCTAAAGTGGTCACATGTGCAAAACCAAATCAAAACAAACTAGTCATGTGACCAAAGTGACCACATGCTCAAAACCCATGACCTTATAGCGAGGTCATGTGCGAAACTCATAAACCAATCATAACTCAATAAACAAGTCATATGACTCGACTGAGTCATATGCGCAAGGCTTACCCGCAAGGCACACTCGCAAGGCATACTCGTCAGGTGCATGTCCCATGACTCATATTTGAGCCATGTGCGAAAGCATCACAAATCCCACACATAACAAATCATATAACCCGAATGAGTTATATGCGCAAAACAATAACATACCTGTGACTCATAACCATGTGTCACGTGAAAACCTTTTCCATGCTAAGCCACGTTCGTGACAGGCAGTGGGGAGTGACTTTCACTAAATTGACGAGAAAGTGTAGCTGAGAATCCTGCTCAAGTTTATCATTAGCAAACAAGTGTTCAAGGCCTTGACCATTTCCTCTTACCATCTACGTAGACCGATTAGTACTACTCTGGTAAGTTTGGGGTTTTAGTATTATACAAACTGCATGCTAACATTGTGTCTCAGAGAAGCAACATTGATGGTAACAGCTACCATGATGACAGTTACCCCCATGATAGCAGTAGTGAGTGTGCAGCCTCAGAGTCTTCACATGTCACTTGGAAAGACTTTTTACAACTAGATAAGGTCTGCTTGGAAACTAGAATTCTGATACAGGATATTGTGCTAAAAGCTTTTAGGACATTTCCAACATCAAACTGAAGCTCGACTACATTACATATAACATGTTCGCAAGGTGCGAGACATGTTATCGGTAAGAGGTATGATAGTTAGCAGGTGACCTACTCTACCAGAGAGTAGGCAAGAGCTGAGAACTAAAAGAGGCTTCAAGGGTGTACTGAGAAAGCTATAAAGTAACCGTTCAACCAAGTATATTAAAATGCTGTCTGTTGAATTCTGCTGTTTCCCTCATGGAATCATGTAGTCTTTAAATATACAAATCTGTTCATGTCTTGCATGAATGAAACTATTCAAAGGTATCAAATGATACACTTTCGTAGAATAAATTAAGTATCAAATGATACTTAAAACATAATATAAAATAAAACCAAGTATCAAACAATACTTAAAACAAAACATAAAACAAAACCAAGTATTAGAGCGATACTTAAAACAAAACATAAAATAAAACCAAGTATTAAACGATACTTAAAACAAACCAAGTATTAAAGCAATACTTAAAACAAAACATAAAACAAAACATAAAACAAAACATAAAATAAAACATAAAAAAAAAAATAAAACAAAATATAAAACAAAACCAATAACCAACTACCAGTACCTGTAACATGTTCGCAAGGTGCTAATCACGTTATCGGTATTGAATACGATAGTTGGCAGGTGGCCTGCTCTTCCGGAGAGGAGGCGAGAGCTGAGAACTAAAGAAGGCTTCGAGGGTTTACTGAGAAACAATGAAGTAACCGTTCAACCAAGTATATTGAAATACTGTCTGTCGAAGTCTGCCTTTTCTGTCATAGAAACAGGCGGTCTTTAAATACAAAATCTGTTCATGTCTAGCATGAACGAAACTAACTCAAAGGTATCAATCGATACACTTTGGTGAAACCAATTAAGTATCAAAGCGATACTTAAAACAAAACATAAAACAAAACCAAGTATCAAACGATACTTAAAACAAACCAAGTATCAAAGCGATACTTAAAACAAATCAAGTATCAAAGCGATACTTAGAACAAAACATAAAAAAAAACCAATAACCGAGTACCCATACAGGTTACAGTACCAGTTACATTACAGCTGGACAGAATGAGATGAGGACCGAGATCAAAGACCTTAACAATGAGGCAGAAAGGAAATTTGATAAAACCGATAGTAAGATTGACCACATATTGTATGGTGTCATCACCAGTCTTGTTAGGTTTGTCTTCAAAGATGTATTTGACTATTATCAGGCTGCGAAGAAATAGAGTTTTACATAGGTAACCACAGTGGAGTCTATTCCTTTGAAAAGATTGATGACTGATTAGTATAATAGAAGTGCAGCTCTTTTCTTGCTTTAGGTTTAGTTGGTTGGTCAGCAACAGCACCAATAGTCTTTTTTTATTTTTTTCCCACAAATTAGTAGATAGAATAAGATGTTATGGGAATAGAATAAATAATTCAATTGAATTGATTTCCTTTCCATCGTTCTCTTATTCTCAATTGATTGCCCTGCTTAATTCCTGTATACTCTATCAGAGAGATAGGTCCACTTATAGAAGGCTGATCCAGAAAATTGATATACTAAAGTGTGCGTTAAAGTCGGTTGAACTTTTATCTGGTTGTGTTAGGAATACTGGAATCCGATACCCAGAAGTCACCTAAAGTAGGGTAACCTTACCTGGAGTTCTCATCTCTGGTCTCCAACACCTCCCTCTGGCCCCCTTACTGGGCCTGCAAATTATTATATATATCAATCGCAGTTGCGTCTTGTGACTGTAATACTATAGAATTGAAGGTATCAGAATAATACTGTATATGTTGCCGCCATCCATCCGACTGGATCCTGTTCGCGGGATATACAAGAAGGGACCTTCGGCTAGGTCTGAGCAGTGAAATAGAGTGGATCTGCCAACTACTCTGAATATTACTAGGCTTCAAAGATGTGATACCTTTGGCATAGGCCATAGGTAATGGGACATTTCTGCATAAAGAGATGGTATTGAATAGTAAAGAATCTTAACAAGTGACCAATATATTCACACCTACCCTAAAATATTTAGAAGAGTCTAGAGCTCCAAGAAACACTACTATAGAAGTTATTAGACTTCATGAAGTATTGTAACCAGGTTTCAGAACACCTTGTAGTTACAAAGACAACTTCTCATACAACAATGGTAATTGAAATCCTGTTACCTAAAAGCAATAAGAGCTGCCGACTGAGGGAATAATTGTTAACCTGATAGAATAGCTTTCTGAGAATTAGTAGGAAGCTTTCTGGAAGACATTTATTGGTTGGGTAAGGAGTTATGGAGATTTAAAGTCAGATGACCAAGAAAGGTTACGATTATGAGTACCTTCACAGATACAACCTACAGGTGAAACTGATCATTTCATCTATAATGAAGACCATTAGAGCCAACTCAGTTCAACTTGAGAACTAGGCCACAAGTCTAAAGACTATAAAGATCGGATAACTACTATTGGGAACAGTATGATTCCGAGTTAGTTATGTCATAATTAGTAAACAGGGTGTGGTAAATTTCAGGGTTTCCAGGTGTTCACACCTTTCAAGAATACCCAACGTTGCAAGTTATAATCAGAAAGGTACATAGTGGCATGATAAATAGAAGTAGCCTGTGAACACTTAGACATGGAATATAAATATCGAAGTACCTCTTAAAGCTTTAGACATTATCAAGCAACGGAGAAGAGACCTTAACAATATAATATTGTTTTTATGATTCTATCTTACTTTATCAAATTTACTTCGCTCTCAGTAGTCTTAAACAAAAAGAGTGAACTCGAGCCTTCCTAGACAAGCTCCGTCTACAGACACGAATTTCAATTGACCTAAACAATTCTGAAGTCTATCAGGCTGTCTCTGCCTAACAGGATATTGTTAGATCTCCTGGTTACGAAGGCTCTCTAGTCTAATCTGTTACCACTTTGCATCCTTTTGAGTACATGGGTTCGATTCACACCTTCACTGAAGTTATTGATATTACAGTTGGCCTAGATAGGCTAGGAGAACTATCTCAAACTAATTCAATATTCGAACTACTGACTAAAATACACTTGCCTTCGATGAGTCAAGCAATATCTTGTTAATCTGAACTTTCAGAGATTCCATTTCTGATGCAAGATGCTTCTTCGTAGTATACCGACTCAGACCTAGTTTCCACAGAGGAATAATTTCAGAAACTATACGAAAGCTAGTACGGACCAGAATTCATTTGGAAGCCTTTCCTTGACTAGAATACCAGTAACGAAGGTTCCATTAGTAGTATATTCTCTGCTACTATACCTCTAGCTTGGAGACTCAGAAATCATCCGATCTCTCTTTAAGGCTTCTTACCCACTGCTCAACGTGGCTAGGACCCTAAGTGTCCTGTCACATATTCTGCACTAATAGAAAGTTCCAAAAGTATGGGCTTTCTAGCTCACCTACAAGAAAGAGAAGCTTGTAAACGAGTAATGGAACGTGTTTGCAAGGTGCTAATCACGTTATCGGTAATGAATATGATACTTGGCAGGTGGCCTGCTCTTGCGGAGAGGAGGTGAGAGCTGAGAACTAAAGGAGGCTTCGAGGGTGTACTGAGGAACAAAGAAGTAACTGTTCAACCAAGTATATTGAAAGACTCTCTGTCGAAGTCTGCC